AATTAGCCTCCAGTACCATCTTAAGGCCCCTGGGTTGAGTGAGCAAGATATCACTGTACCTTTATTAATAAGTTTGGTTACTTTGACAATGGTGTGATGGTGATGCAGAAGTCCCGGTTAACTTCACTAGTTTTAACCAGTCACTGGGAAACTGTACATGATTTTTTTCTTTTCAAAAGAAACTATCAGGAAGTGGGGTAGAAAAAAAAAGAAAATAAACAAAATCCACTTTTTAATATTCTAACCTGCTGGATTTCTTGAAAATCAGAACCAAATCCTCCACTTCTAGTCCCAAAGCCAAAGGGATTGTCTCCTCCCCGAAAGAAGGACTTTAGGATATCCTCTGGGTCAATACCTTCACCAAATGGATTTCCATCACCATAGGGGTTACCACCTAGAAGACATCATTTGAACCATAAAAGTCATTATTGTCCTCAATTACAATTAACTTAAAGGGACAAAATTTCAATGTTAAAATAATTTCCAAGCCTTAAACAGAAACAAAGTTAACTATTTGGGTTTTTATCACATTTAAATGGAAATACTATGGCTGTCACTATGACAGTAACAGCAAACTGTCTATGAAGATGAAAGTTGGAGCTGCTTCATTAGGCACTGGATGTAGGAAAAATATTTGGTTATCACTGACAGCGTAAGCACATTTCTTTGACTAAATTTTGATGGCCCACAAATTTCGTAAAGAAATATTGTGGCAAGAGAATAGTGAAGAAGCCAAAGGATTCTGTAACCTCCAAATGCATAATGTAAACATTTAACCCTTTCTCTCAAGGAAGTAATTGGTTATATAACTTCTCCCTATAATATCCACACATAAGCCAGCAAACAGGTAATAAGAATACTCAAACTTATCAGGTAGAAGTTAGTATCTTGATCTAACACCAAATTCTCTCCACAGTTACATGGAAATGTGTAGAAGCTATCGTGTCAGGCAGGTTGAATAGTTGATTGAAATGAAAAACTATAACATGATTTATTAAGATTACGGGGCTTGACACTAACGGTAGCCCACTAACCACAGACTAGTAGAAATTCAGTTTTGGCTAGTGGTTTTCAATTTCCACTAGCCAGTTTCACTAGTAAACAGACTGAAATTGTCGTAACATCTAAAAACATCTAAGA